GGGAAATGGGGAAGGGGAACAGACAAGCTGCTGTCCTTTTGTTCTTCAGTCTAGTTGTGGAGGATGTCGCTTCAATGGCCCATGTTGATATTATCATTGCGCTCTTCCCCAGGTGAGGCAGTCGCTCACCGGCCATTGGACGGCCACTCACAGCGGCTCACGGCAGCTCATGCTGGCTGCCGGCCACTCATGGTAGCTTACGGCAGCCCACTGCAGCAGGGGCTGCAGCCTACGCCGTTGCCAGTGACTCACAGCAGCTCAGCTCCAGGTCGAGCTGTTGTTCACCATCTTAGCTGTAAGAGGGCGCAGCGTCACTGGCCATCATGTGGGATCCGAACCAGAGCTCTGCTGCTCAGAGCTGGCATCCCAAGCCAACTCTTAACCAATGTGCCCCTCGGCTGGCCCTGAACAGAGACTTCTTATATGTTGAGTCCTTGCAATCCTAACAATCCTGCTATCAACAGCAGCTGTATAAGGTCTGGGAAAAATCACCACGTGCTGGAGAAAGTTTTATAGAACTGAGCCAACACTAATCTGGTAACAAGTCAGGGTCCATTCCTCGTTTGGCACCAAGCTATGGGCTAACATTTATGAATTAAAGTGTGAAACTTAATCCCGGTTATCAGTTACGTTAAAGACCCTTTTTAAAAAGAGATGTTGAAAGAGTTTGAATGAACATGTATTTCCAAGCTTGGGTAAGGTCATGGAGCTTCAGGATCTAATTTAATTGATAGGTGACCCACTCTCGATTTAGGCTTTCCTATTAGAGATAGAATTCCATCCTTTCATTCACAGTTCATTTAGTTGGTTCACACGAGATCTTTCAATTGCTGTATGTAATTCTATTTGGCCATGATTGCCAACTTCATAATGTAAAAAATGGTAGGAACATCTGTAGAAGGGTTTAAAAATTCACTCGAACATTTGAGAGGGTTTCATTATTCTATATCCTTTACCGAAAAGTTTTGTATTGGGGTTGCAAGTCTGGCCGGTTGATCTGCTTTGAAATAATCCAGTTATGAACTTTTTTTATGCAGACAGGTTCATGCAATGAATTGAAGCCATTACTGTACCATACTAGGGAGGACAGTAATATAATTCATTTGTTTGGAGCTGGAGTGATCCTGAGTTTTAAATATTGTTTATTCTTGGGGAGTGAAAGGTTTTATTGTTCATTGATAGTTCCCAGCATCTGCAGTGGTCTTCCCTTTCCCACCCACCCAGTCTTCCCTCCTCATCAGGAGTATAACCAGCCCTGCACTGAGATAAACTGCCCAAGTACAACAGATGGAACTAGTGAATTGATTTAAAGAAAGCCCTTCCTTTGGTAGTTGTGCGTATTCTTTGTCAGATAGGCCTCCCCAAATTGTAAATGTATCAATTGTGTAACCATTTGTTTTACTACTAGCTATTTCGTTGGTTAAGAGCTGGCTTGGGACACCAGCTCTGAGCAGCAGTGCCCAGGTTCGGATCCCTCATGAGGACCAGTGACACTGCCCTCTACAGCTAAGATGGTGAACAGCAGCTCGACCTGGAGCTGGGCTGCTGTGAGTTGCCAGCGATGGCGAAGGCTGCAGCCTCTGCTGCCGCAGGCTACCATAAGCTACCGTGTGTGGCCGGCAGCCAGCATGAGCAGCTGGCAGCCAGCGTGAGCTGCCAAGAGCCGCTGTGAGCGGCCATCCAGGGGCTGGCGACTGAGCTACCTCACCGGGGAAGAGCACAATGATAATACCAACATGGGCCAGTGAAGCAACGTCCCCCACAACTAGACTGAAGAACAAAAGGACAGCAACCTGTCTGTTCGCCTTCCCCGATTCCCCAATACTGTTCCCTCCCTCAATTCCCCAATAAAATCTTTAAAAATAAATAAATAAAGATAGCATTTGCTTGTGAGAAGTATCAGCTCTCGTTATGACTGCTTTTCTTAAATATAAATTATTTAACTTGTCATTACTCTGTTTCCTTTTTTTTCTTAATAGGGGGAAAAAAAACCCCATGTCTCTATTACCACAATTATTAATGGCATTTCAAACTGGAACAAACATATTTTACATAGTCCTAAATATAGAGCATATACAATTTTATACTGGTTTTTATTGTTGCTGTGTGGCTTTAATTTGTTTAGTTATTGCATAATATTCCATTGTGATATATTATAATTTAATTGAATATTTCTCTTTTGGACATTGAGATTGCTTCCACTTTTTCCACTAAAATAGATAAGACTGCAATGAACGTCTTTGTACATTTCCTATTTCTGGACTATTTCTTTAGGGTAAATTCTTAGAAATGGGATTTACTTTCTGTTCCTTTCAGAAGTGGGCTCTAACATATCTTTAGCTTTTTACTTGACCCTTTTAGAGAATTATATTTCTGCTCTTCTGAACAGCTAAGTCGATGGAAATTGATATTGACATTTAGGGGAATCCAGTAGTTCATGCCCTAATCCTGACTTGTCTGCTAACTATTAGTCTAGTTAATTTGCTTATATGTAATATAATATTTTCTACCACTTCAGAAGTCTATGTGCTCATTCTCATTACCACATTTACCTGAAATGCATGTTGGCATTTCACATTTCACATCATAGATGGCAGGCATAGGTTCTGTGTTTTCCCAGATGGAAAATGGAAATAAATTGGCTAAAACAATAGGGTTCTCTACGACTATTCTTATGTCAAATATTGGAGTCTTGTTCATAGCCAGATTTGGCTGGCAAAGATTATTTTGCCTACCTTCTATTAGCTTTCCAGAATGATTGTTGTTGTCTTAAAATATGTCATGTATGATACAATTCATTATGAGTATGAGTTACTTTGAAAGTTCCTCCCTTAATTGGGGCAACTTCAGCATTATCATCAAAGCACAGTTAGTGACCCTTCCTTCTGATTAAGGGTGACAGGGATCTTCCCTTTTCCTTAAATAATTTCTGTCCTTTTTAAAGAAAAGAATATTCATTTTCTAATGACATTTTGGTCTTTTATCTTCTTGGTCAAGAGCAGCTACTGAGGGCAGTGGTTTTATATGAGGACAAATCATTTCATATTCATAAGTACCGGAATAGATCCTCCATAGCTGACTTACTAAAACTCAGATATGATGTCTTTATAAAATGACTTTAGGCCGTGACCTTCAAACTTTAGAATTCTTAAAAAATGGCAGCATAGCAGATGGTTTTGAGTGCTCATAAGGAACCACTGAAATGGATAATGCTGAGTCGTCTAATGGATTTCTGAAAGCATAATGTGCTTTAGGATACGGCTAAATCAATAAACATAACAGTCATTTAAGTGTATATTATATAATATTGGTTAATTATATTGAAACTCAAATTGTTAGCATTCAAGTGGAATGCTAAAAATATAACTGAAGTACTTATAAAAATAGAATCATCAGAAAAAGCAGAAGCATATTTTAGTTTTTGTCAGCTAATCTTGATATTTGGAGTTAGCTACAGATTCTGTCATGCATTTTGTGAACCATGAAATATCATGTATTTCAGAAGCACTAATGTTTGCGATTGATAAGAAAAATAAATAGCTGGGTTTAATATACTGAGTTGTTTTTTGATTCTTTTTTTTAAAGCTACTGTTTCTTTTTTATGTTCTTTGATTCTTGATCCCAATAAAAGCCTGTATTGAATGTTTTAGTATTAATAGTTGCTTCATATAACATAAGTAGATGGTCAGTGCACCAAAGTAAAAATGTATGTGGAGCACATGCATTTTTATATTAAAGAGTTATATTGGATGGAAATTGCAAAATCAATATTGGAACGCTTTATTTTTATTTTTTATTTTTTTTAGCTGAGCCATCCTGCCACCTGTTGGCAGCTCAGCGGCAACTCAGTTTGGGCCGGGCATCGAACCGCTGTTGCTCAGAGCTTGCCCTCTTTCGCGTGGAACACTTTTTTTAAAATGCAACAAAATATCTTATTTGCTTAGATGTTCATAACTGGGAAGGTGATCAAATTTAAAATTGTGATTTTTTTTTTTTAAACAACATGGAAATATCTCTCAATCTTTGGTTGTTGATCATAATGGTGGAAGATGGTTGCTGATTGTTTTGGGGAGAGATCCTTAAAAAAATAATAAAGGCAGTCTCATTTCCTTGGGTATGATCACAGCTTCAACGTAGTTGATTGCCCTTGAAAAGTGACAATTTTTTAAGGAATCGGAGTTATTTTATTTATTGCCATGTGAAAAATAAATCAAAACGGTAATTTGTGTTTCATGAATCCCGACTAAAGGTAGGAAAATACAGTTTTGTATGACTTGATGGTGAGGAACATTTAATCATTATTTGTTTAAGCTGTTGTTTTAAAAACTAGTTTAAAATGGCCCTTGCTTTTATTTTTTATTAAAAAAAAATTTTTTTTTTTGGCTGAGCCATCCTGCCACCTGTTGGCAGCTCAGCTCGGGCCAGGAATCAAACCAGTGACCCTGTTGCTCAGAGCTCACACTCTTGAGCAAGCTCTTAACCAACTGAGCCACTCGGCCGGCCCCCTAGCTTTTATTTTTAATGCTATGACTTGCAATATAGCTTTGCCCAGTGATACCTACAGTGTTTACATTGCTCTGGAAGTTGTTGCTATTTTATTGGGCTAACTGTTCTTAGGGCAACATTTGAGGTAAAAAAAGTCTTTTGCAGGTTTGTGAGAGACATAAAGTGAACTATGGCCTTTTAAAAGTTCAGTGCTAATGACTTCACAGAATTGTTTTTGCTTTTATTAGAAACTCTGACTTTCTGGTTTACTGAGAGCCAGGCACCTTGGTTGCCCTTCCTTTGTTGGTTATAATAGTCTGTTCATTTTAACCCAGTCAAATTTATATGCATAAACTCCTGGCATCACCAATTTAGTTTAATTCTTTATCTCAATAGCTGGTTTCTTCCTTAGTTGATATAGGATTTGATGGTTTTATTATTCCTCCAGCTGCTGAAAATCTAGAGGAAGCTTCCTGATATTTGTATGTTTTGGCAAGAAAACAGTGGTGGTTCCTGTATGAATATGAACTGGGTAAATCTATACTATGTCACCCACTGAAACATTTGATTAACAATAGTAAGAGTGGAGTGTTCTTCAAAATCAAAGAACAACAATCATTTTTTAGTAGGTATATTTGATTTTAAAGGTAAAACTTTGTTCTGTTTTTACAGAGAATCCACCTGGTAATAGAAGTGAGAGACTTATAACTCAAAGGCATTTAATAAAGATTTATACCTTCATTTTCTGAGATAAATGATTTGAATTAATTTCTGACTTCTGCACTTAACTATTTTCATGATTTGGGTTCTTTTAGTTAGGTCTAATCTCACGTTTAAAAAGGAGCATTAGCAGAAATGCCAGGAAAAAAATCTCCATCAGCAAGTACCTGGCTTTCAGCGCATGTTTTCATATGTGGTTGCAATTAAAATCCCTTTTGCCGTGCGCCATTTTTAGATGCCATCAGATATATTTACTTCCGTAGATGAAAGCAACGGAGAAGGCAGCACTTCCCAACTTCTCCTCTATCGTTTCTTTCCTTAGATTTTAACATTTGAGACCAAGAACCCCACGGAATTAGCGGAACGATTGCGCTCTGTGTGTGGGAATCAGAGCAACGCCTACGCCCGCCTGCTGGAATACCGCCTGAACGCCTTGCGGGGACTGTGGAATGCCCAGCGCCAGCTGGCCTTGGAAGAGCAGCACGAGAGGGAAAGTTCAGGGGATGAAGAAACGCTGGCCCTGCTCAAACGCCAAGGCTTGCTGCAGCAGCCCGAGCAAGCTCCCTTCACGTCCCGGATGGGGCTGCTGCTGGTCTTCCCCCTTATTCAGTCCCAGAGTCGAACAGACCCCTCTCTCTGTAACATAACTGCTGAGGTGCTATTGAACTGCCTTCGTGACTGCCAGCCCTTGAGCTTGACCAAGGAGCCTGCTGACTGTCTCAATGGAATTGAAACTCTACTGTGCTCTTGGCTAGAGGATACTTCCGACACAGGCCGGCACATCCCACAGAAGCAAAAAGAAAATGCTGCTGCTGCCCTGGTGGCTTTGGCATGTGCCAGGTAAGGAAAGTCCGCTGTGCCCCTTGGTGACCCCGTGACTGCTGCTGCCTGGGCTGGGTGAGTGACGAATCGGGCAAGCAGATTCCATGGGAGGCTTAACATTCGGAAGTCCATCTTTGTTTTTGGTGTTGAATTTCACAGCCTTGTTAGTGCATAAGATGCTTTCACCAAAACTTGGCACCAGCAGCCTGAGCTGGAACCCAAGTTCAAGTTTTCACTTTCTGCTGTGCCATGATAACAGCTCAAACAGCTTAAAGCAGAGACTCAACCCTTGCCGTTATCTACTCACCCCTTAGATGATTAGCGTTTTTACATCAGGTCATTGGTGGAGAAGGTTCGATCTGCATTTCTTCTGGAAGGACAGTTAAACATTTGGTAGAGCTTTTGACATTTTTCACGCGTGTCTGTAAGCAGTGGTCAGCACGTGAGTGGGTTATTACTCATCTGGACCCAGTCATGCAGACTTGGTCCACACATTATAGCTTTGTACCCAGATGCTCACCTCCATCAATTTAATTGGAGGATCTCTCTGTGTATATAAGGATTTAGTTGTGTGCTGTCCCTTGTGTATAAGTTGATGTTATTGATCCTTGATCCGCTGTCAATAGGAAGTGTCAAGTGCTCGGACTGACTTTTCCAGGAGAGGAGTCCTCCATTCTTCTGCCCAGTAACTGCGTGGCCACCGGTTCACAATTGGGAGAAAAAGTTTCATTGCCCTTGCTTTCCAGAGACCAATTAGGACTGTGGTCTGACGGATGAGTGCCCCTCATCTGCCCTGCACACTTCAGAATAGTTTCTTGGATGGGATTTTTTTTTTTAACAAAGCTTATGTGGGAAAATTCTTCTTGGAGGATTATGAAGTTCTTAGCTCTAAGACTTCTTCCCCTCTTTTTTATGGTTTTGCACTTGATCTTCAAATGGTTGACGTCAAGCAATTTAAGGCAGAAGGGCACCAGTATTTATCATCAGTTTCTTTGCCCCGAGCACACTGTCATAGCCGTCTTAGGTCCCTGAAAACTGTGGTTGACTGGAAATCCTGACATGAGCTTAATTCTAGAGACGTTATTGTGTGGTACTGAAATTCGTTTCCTTGTAAAGGCACTGTATTGGATGGACTTTTTTTTTGCATAGGCAAAAGACAATCTTGAGCCCTAAATAGATTTGTTAATGCATACATCCCATTTTGAGAAAATTTCAGGTAGGACTGTCGCTAGACAGAGTTAGGATTTTTTGGAATAATTGACTTTTTCATTTTAAACATTTTAAAGTATTGAACATGGGATCATAACTCACTTTTTAATTATGAGTCCAAATTCAATCTGAACCACAGGTAGTTACTGAAATGCTTTATGTATTTGAAATTCCAAATTCCATTCAGCAGAAAGGATGAAATGAATGTCTTTTTTCTTTTTTTTTTAGATGATTCCTATATTCTATTGCTAAGATTATCACCTTTTTCTGGAGTTTGTTTACCTCAGAAGTCACATACTTTTCAATGTTAGATTGGTTCCTCATAACTTCATTAAGAAGCTATTAGGGACATATTATTGAACTTCTGAGATTGATGCTTTCAAAGACAAAACAACTTCTCCAAAATTACATTTTGAAGATGTTCATTCATTCAGCTAACATTTATGGAGCATCTAGGATGTGCCAGGAGCCTCGCTAGGTCTTAGGGATAGAGTGGCTCATGGTCTCTAACCTTACAGTTGAACGGATCAGGGCGATTCATTTTGTCAATAATTATGGCTCACTTCTCATCAGTGGGGATACTGCAGTGAGCAAGGCAGGTAGTCCCTCAAGTTGCAAAGTTTTCATGAGAGCGAGAGAGGCAGACAACCAGCAACAAATAGATGTATAAGCTAATTTCACAGAGGGCCAGTCACTGTAAGAAGACAGAGCAGGATATTTTGATAGAGAATGACTCAGCGGAGACGAGGGGACAGTGTCAGCTAGAGGTACGAGGGAAGGCCTTGACGTTTCAACTGAGGCCTGGATTACCAGAGTCAACCATGCCAAAAAGCCAGAGGCGAGAGGAGCAGCAAGTGGCAGGACTCGGATGCTCTTATGTGCTTGGGGCAGCTGAGGGACGGCCACGCGAGCAGGTTAGCTGGAGTGCAGCGGTAGGAGAGGGGCAGAGGATGAGGCTGGCAGGCCCCGATCCTGCAAGGGCCTAGGAACCGCGGAAGGGGTTTCAGTTTTACTCTTGAAATCAGATTGATTCTGGCAGGTAATAATACCTTATGGTTGGTGTAATGGCTTGAATGTTCCCGTGTGCTCTTGCCCTTTTATTTTTAACCTCACTGTACCCCAGGGAGATATCCCTGTTGGACAGATGAAGAAGCCAGAGTCCATAGGAGTTAGGTGACAGGACTGAGATGGGGCCCCCGGTGAGTGGCAGAGCCAGGTTTCAGAGCCCGTGTGTCCTGACCCCCAACTTGTGCTTTTCTACCCTGTTGGCTGCCTCCCTGCATTATACTGTTCTTTGGTTTAGATCATTTGAACACCAGAGATAGTGAATGGGGCAATTAAGTGAAGGACTCAGCCTGCTTGGTCCAGCGTTAGGTATTCCATTTCTTTTGGGGTTTAGGCATAGGATTCCATTTCTTTTGGGGTTTAGGCATATGATACCTGGCAATTAAAGCCTTGGCTAAGAGAATAAGGCAGTGATCTGAAGTCAGCCCATCTGATACAGGCGATCATTTAGTTCAGGAAATGTTCTCGTGGTGATTTATACTTGGGACCTGGCCAGGTAAGCCTTGTGCATCGTAAAAGCACCTTCTTTTAGATCCTGCTGACCGTATTATAGACTTCCCAGCGCCTCAAGCCTTGGGAACCAAAAGGAAATCAAGAAGCGGTGAGCTCTGAAAGTATTATAATCGCCTACTGCACAGAAGGAACATCTCTCAGCATAAAGTATTAATTATTTGAGCATATTCCTTTTTCAGTCATATTTGATGTGATGGGGTTCGATGAGCTGTTATATAAAATTATAGTTGAACTTAACAAAGACATTAAAAAATTAATCCTGGAAATACTGTTAGACTTTAAATAGAACCTTGTCCTATGAAATCTTTCCTCTAGACTAGAAACTGGCTTGATAATGAAAACAGTATCTAAGCTTAATAGACACATGTTCTTTGTACTTGAGCCTTATGTTTTGAACTTTTGCGTTAGGGGAAAATGATTTACCTTACAAATGCAACAAGAACATCACAATTGACATGTGCTGCTCACATAGTAACTTTTTGTATGAGCCAGTGGTAACAGGTACAAATCAATTGTTGATTTTGTATGACACATCTTCCGATTGGCAGAAGCACATAGATACATTTTGGAAACTTCTCATGCGTTCATAAAATTACCACTAACAGCCTTATTATTTGACTTTTAAATTTTGATGATTTTCTGTTCCCTCCTTTTATTTTTAGGGGATCATTGAAAACTTTTGTCCATACAGTCCATCTGTTGCAGAAACAGACTGATCTTGGGTCCCTGCCTGTAGCTGATGTACTATATAGGTAAGTGGTCCTTTTGGGTTTTTACCCTCCCTCTACACAAGAGAGATTATGCAGACGGTTTCTTTTCATAGGTAGATTGTTGAACTCTTACCAATTAATGATTCATATTTTTAAGTATATTTATCATAAGTGAGAATTTTGTCTCGTCTTTCCTTTGAAAGTATTCCTAGAGCATGTTATTTTTCATGTCTTGTTTTTGTGAACTTTTAAAAAATGTAGTAGCTTGTAATGAATTCTTATTGTAGATTTTGAGTTAATATGTTAAGGTGTAAATGAGAAAGTGAAAATCATTCAAATCTCATTACCCAGAAATAACCAATGCTTTGGTGTATGTGTTTCCCAATTCATACCCTTTTCTCTCTCTCTCGCTCATATATATGTATGGTGCCAAAAAAATGTATGCAAGTGGACACTTTGGTCAACATTGCTCAGGCAGTAGTTCGCCATAATCAGAAGTGTCTGGATGCTGATGGGAACCACTTTGAGCACCTCTTGTAATTGCAGAAGTCACACGTGACTTGTTTTCATCTTTTGTTGTTGATATATTGAGTATTACAGTTTTAATACAGTTTTCCTTCCTTAAAATGTGTATACATTTTTTTGGCACCATATATAGATGTAAATATAATATATAACATATATATATATATTTATATATAACTATATCTATTAATATATTAATATATTTTGTACACCGCTGCAATTTTATTATTATAACATTAAGCACTACTTTGTAAATTTTAAATTTAAAAATATATTGTGAATCGTTTCAGATGTATAGTATCTGTGTAAAACTGTTGTAGTTTTCTGCTCTTTGCAATGGTAGCTAGACTTTTATTTTCTTGCTGAAATAGTCTCAGTGTCTTGTGATTCTCCATTTCCCCTTTTTAGGCTGTTGCTTTTGGAAGGGGGGCCTGGATCCCCCTCCTGTTTGCTTGGTGGCAAACACATAGTATCATGGGGCTACGAAGACATGTTGCCTGCACCAGATAGCAACACTGGCTCCAGTCCTGAAAATAAAGGTAATGGAAGGGTTTTGGCCCTGTGACTCAAATTAAGATGCGAAAAGAATGGTTTTAGATCATTGTGGCAAACGATGTAGATATAACTCTCTATTCCTTTTAATTAAGAGCTCAAGGTTCCTGTACAGTGTGTTCATTGTCTGCTTTATCAGTCAAAGTATAAAAGCTGATACTCAGTGAGGTAAGAAAATGGATAGGTTTTACTATCACAAGGAAAAGGTATCGTCCATACACTTCTGCCAGAGAGGCACGAGTTACTTAAATTGGCTTCTGGGTGTTTGAATTTGGGCATGGGAGCCTTAAGTTGAATTTTGATGTCCACAAGTAGAGTATCAGGTTTTCTGCCTGATACTGTTTCTTTTAATACTTTATTGCATGTGTGTTGATGAACCGTCCTGTCCTAAAAGCAAAAAAGATGACGTTGTTCAGGGAGCATGAAATGTTAAGTATCTCCGTCAAACAAAGTAGGCTGAATTCAAACATTTCTACAGTTTCATAGGCATTATGTATCAGTTTATTCCGTGATCTCAGCGAAAATGGCAGACGCTGTCTTAATTGACCTCTGTTTAACTGACTTGCCAGATGAATTTGACCTCTTCATTCACTTGGTAGATGTACTGTCTCTGCCCTGACCCCCCAAACCCATGGTGCTCTCACTTGTGGAATTGCAGGCTGCTGAGTGTCCACCTTGGTCCAAACCTGTTTTTTGTAATTACTACTTGTTATGACTTTTCATTAAATATTACATAAATGATGAAATAGGAATTTTAAAAACTCCAGGAAATTGTTTCCATTCAAAAAATGGAATGTCTTAGAAAGATTCACCAAAGTCAATCTCTAAGAAATTACTGTTAATGGGCCGGCCGAGTGGCGCGATGGTTAAGAACTCGCTTGGGATGCCAGAGGGCCCCGGTTCGGATCCCACATGTGAGGGCCAGTGACGCT